CACACACACTCATAGGCATATTCAAGTGTGTATATGCACAAACAAAGACACTTACCATCCCAACACACTCATGCATTCAGTAAAACTCACACACCTAATATATAAAAAAATGTTCATTTGTTAGTCAGCATGACCGTTTCTGTCAGTACATTTAAATGCTCAGTTAAGTTGAGGTTTGACTTCCTTCCATATGTTTGACTTATGTGCGTGCAAACTATGGAGCATGTGCAAAACACCTTGGCAGGATTTGGGTCTGAATGATGTGTAGCATGCAAGAGAAAATCCTTCCCAACTGCATTTTCTGGGTGTGCCAATATATTGATGAGAAATTCTCTTTAGCGTGATTTTAGTCAGACTAACATGTTAACATTAAGAGTCCAGTTTCAGTCGCTCTAAAGCAGGAATTGAACATTTTCACAGCATGTTGATATTCTGTGTGTTCAGTATGATGCAAAAACCTTTTTGTCCAAACATTATCAGACAACTTGGTTATCATGAGGACTGTCTCCAGTCAAACATTGTACAGAGGTGACCCTTTAGAGTCGGAGCAGAACAAATGTCACTTTTATCACATTTTTGTTAGAGCAAATTTCCTGTAACTTTGGATCTTCAAAGTGAGGTAAATAAACAGAGTTGTACATGATCACACTAAAACCAACACAGAAAAACCTCTGTGTATCAGGGTTAAATGTCAGAACCTCAGCCAAATGTTGTTTTACATGTGTTTTTAAGTATCAGAGCTGCAGATTGTTCCCACTTTAAATTGTTACAACATATCTAAAAGGGTTTTTCTTTGCATTTAAAATAAAATTGCATCTATGATTCTGCAGCAGAATTAATAATCCATGTATTTCAGGACACCAGAAAATAGAGTAGAGATTGCAGTAATTAACTGTATTTGCCGTATTTTACTGATTCATTTGATTTTTAACAGTATAATACTGTAAATTAAATAACTGCGAATCCATTAGCTTCCATGTGCACACTTTGGCTGGAACCCCATCTTTACCACAGTGGGTGATAGTGCTCATGGGAAATGCAGTCTTCATCCCAGAAAAAAAAAAAAAAAAAAGCATCAAAATGAAAAAAAAACATCTTCTCACCCCACTGTCACGGCCCAAGCACCGAACTTGGGGGGATCGGGCATTCTCCTCAGCTGCCCCTACCCTTTGGAACTCCCTACCTCCCTCCATCAGACACTGCCCTGACTCCACTTCTTTTAAATCCCTTTTAAAAACCCACTTATTTAAAATTGCTTTTAATATTTAACTGTTTTGTCCATCTTACTGTTTTCATGTCTTTGTCTTATTATCTTGAATTTTACGTACTATGTAAAGCGTCTTTGAGTGTTTTTAAAAGCGCTGTACAAATAAAATGAATTATTATTATTATTATCTGTTTTCACCAAAGAGAAATCAACATTACAATGTCTTTAATGTCAAAATGGTTCCTCACAGTATAATCCTTTAGCTCTGACTCATCACAGTGAGCCGTATGTGTTTGGTTGGCCACCTCTGGCCACCTGCGGTACATTGTCCCCCAAAAAAATCATTCATAGGACATGAACTAAATATTCAACAATAAAAGCACCAATGTCAAGAAAAGTATCTGTCTGTTAGCAAGTCTTTCTAACTTTCCATTTTATTCATGTAAGAGGCATAATACCCTGCAAAAAATTCAATTCTAGGATAAATGCTGTGATAATAGGATAAACAAAGTGTTAATATGTTGGTTTTGGTTGTATTGATGGTTGTGGTTTGAGTTGTATGTCCTCTCACAGTTTCAGAGCAGACGGTCATTTTGGTGTTGGTTTATTGGTGACTTTTGAAGAGCAGTGGAAAAGAAAGGAGGAGTGAATGTGGAGAAATAATACAAAGGAGATACAGAGTTTTCTGCATTGAAGTTAGTGTTTGATTAGAGGGGTGTAGTGGGAGATATGAGTGTTAATAACAGAGGAGAAGGAGGAGTAACTTTTAATGTCTCATAGTTCTTTTTGTTGAATGCAGCACCTATACAAAGAAATAAAAGCATTAAAAATCCAGTAAACACATTATGATACATTACAGCTGCTTTTTATTGTTCTTTATGCCAAAATAGCTGCACAATAAATTTTCCATGAAGTCAATTAAGTGCAACTGATCAGAAATCACCCGAGAACCATAAAGAAGCAGTGAAGGAGTGCAGCTCCTTTAAGATGCATTTCACTTCTGTTGTTTTCCTCTCTTTGTTTTCCCTTGTCTCCTCTCTGCTTAACAGAGCAAAGTGCTTTTAATGTGCCTCTTTGTGAAGACGTCCCCTCTCCCATCTAAACAAGCACCTTGATTGGCTCGCTCGCCCTCAGCAGAACGGCAGCAAACAGTTCAGCACCCTCCGCTCACTTTTTAATGGCCTCCTCTACTCAGCTCCATCCCAGATTTTATTTCACACAGGAGACAGGCGAAGCGTCTCCTCAGCATTTCCTCAGCTTCTCTCTTCAATCTCTTTGCGCTTAATTCCCCTTCAACTGTGTTCGCTGGAGTCGTTAACTGATTAAGCAGTTTAATTAGGCCACGCACAGGAGACGCACTGAAGACACAGCCATGAGCTCCGAGTGAAAGTACCACAAAATACCAAGCATGGATTTACTCTTTGTAGCAACAAATGAGGATGAAATAAAAGAATGAAATGTTAAATATGAAATATAATTTTTAATTTGCATAGTGCTAATTTTCGGAGGTATAAAAATAAGTGCTAAATATCAGAGAGTAAATGGAGTGCTTGAATATATAAAGGCTTGTAATTCCTTTTATAAACTTTGGATGATGTTGCTCCAACACCCCCTCTTTTTTCATGATCATCATGTCTAAATTATTTCATATTACTAATTCAGAGCTGCTTCAAGTGTTGCAGGTTCTCCTTTACTACAGCTACATTTGCATTTTTTAAAATCCATTCTAATTTATTTCGAGATTTCTGCCTCATTGTGGTCCCATTTGTCTGTCTGAGCCTTGTACAGTCAGACCAGAGTTCAGCTTTATGAAGACTGAAATAAATCACAGAAATGAGAGGCTATAAAAGACAGATGAGTTCTCATACAACAAAGATTCAGACAGTTTTGCTCCTTTGAGGGTTCCTGTTTTGTTGTAAAATGTTGCAACTGGAAAATCCTTAATGTGAACGGTCAGTGATTTAAGTTTATTTAAAAATTACATTTAACTTTATTCTCACTTAAACCTTTATATTCCATCGACATCATTAAGTTGTATCTTTAACTGCATCTATGATATTTGAAGTTAACTAGCCTGAAGTTAAATACAGAAAGCCTTTAAGAAACTCTAAACTCTATATAACACATTTGGAAATACTATGAACACAAATGGACTTCCTTATGGCAAAGATAAATGCTATTAAATCTCGAAATAGAGGGTAACCGTACTCTAGGATTAGTGCTTTGGTTGACATTAATCAAATAGTAATTAAGCTCATGTCCAGTTACTCTGACTAAGATCTCTTGTACTTATTATTGACAAGAACCTCATTTCAGCACCACCCAAAAAAACTGAAAAAAGAAAAAAAAAAAAAATGTAACTATCCATTCAATGTCCCCCAGCTCTCCAGAAGCCTCCTCCACTGTTGCCATACACAAATGTTGTGTTTCTCTGTTCAAAATGACTATTGAATGTGGCAGTATGTTTTGGATCCCAAATTTGACCTGAAAAGTTCAGAATACAACAAAAATCCCAGCAACAAATATTAAAGCAGGATATTTCTGCTCTTTTAAGGAGACTCTTTTGAGCAGGGACATCACCATCTCATGACCTTCCTGTTTGGTTCTTTTATAACTTGTAACCTACTTTTAAGTGTCAATAAGCAGACTCGAAATGTACAGGTACTCATATCTGCAGATGAATTTGATGTGAGATATGTGATCTGAAAGTATAACAGATAGATTTAGTCTCAGTGACGTCATCCATTTGTTTCGAGAGCTGAGTTTAAAAAGTCTATCAGCACGTTTCCCCTACTTTGGAAATGTTAACTCAACGTAACTCTGGGTCAGTCTACCAAGAGGCAAAGAGGTGGGGCTGAGGCAGGCCTGTCAGTCAAGTTGGCTATACCTCTAATCCTGCAAGACTCATAATCTGAATCAGACATGAACTCCAAGTAGGGTGTTTGCTGAGAGAGAAATGAGTTATTTAGACCAGAACTGTTTTTTGAGCCAGGCTGCCTTGTTGAATGAGGGTCTATGAGGTTTCTGGTGCTTCTGGTTCCAGCCCTAAGTGGAAGATCAGGGAACTATAGCTTTTGGTGCTTTCACATTGGCTTCACTCTGAAGACTGGAGGTTGCTGTTGGTTTTGACCTGTCATGATGAAGTATTTAACAGTAAGAAAACTCTGTGAGTGATTTTAATAATTCTGATAGAAGTAAAATTGTTCTGCTTTTACATAAACATCTGTGATGTACTGCAGATCTCTGCTGAGGTGGAATTGCAGGTCAGCGAAAGTCATCATGATACTTTTACGTTTCCAATCTATTTCTAAAAACACTAACCAGGTAATATCGTTATTTAGCCTTTTTTGATACAATAAAACCATGCAGGATCCATCATCACATGTCCCTGCAGACTTTCTATTGTATAGACTGGATATGTCACAGATCCACAGTTACATCATTCTGGATACAGGTATCATTTTTGTTTGGGTCACTGTATTATTCCCCCAAATTTAGATCCACAAAATCTTTTCACATCTCAGCACATCTAATTTCTACTGCTGCCCAGACTCCACAGGAAAAATTAACCTGAAGAATCTGTGCTGAGAGGAGATGCCATCCAGAGTCCATGATTGCCTGGCTGCTGGCCCTCTCACACCTCCAGCAGGGGACCGGCCTCAGGGAGCAGACTGCTATTATAGGTGAGATATCCTGTGCGGGCCTCCAAGCCTGGCACAGGATTACACATCAGTCCCCCACTGAGGAACCCTGCAGGGGGGAAAAAAAGCAGCGCTGCCCCCCTCCAGCTAACCTGCATGCAGACCTGTCCCGCCTAGCTGCTGGATCAAACACCTTTAATTGAAACAGTGCTTTTCATGCAGGAAAACATGCACCCCCCCCACACCCCCAAACACACACACACGCACGCGCGCGCACACACACACACACGCACGCACACACACACACACACACACACACACACACACACACACACACACACACACACAGACATGTTTTTGCCTTTTTTTTTGTTTTTTTTTTGCCTGCGGCTCTACTACAACAAATTCTAACACTAAATGATTTTGATCACCACCACATTGATGTAAAGTGTCATTTACATTAATTAATCGTTAATGGGCTTGTGTAAACAGTCTCGCCTTTTTTTTTTTTTTGAAATTCTTTAGGTCCATTAAAAGTATTTAAAACTGAAGAAGAAAATAAACCTTTTCAAGTGGTCAGATTTAAACAGCCTTAAAGACATGTTTTACAACGTCCTCCTGCCATCATACTAACGATCTTGTTTGACACATAAAAGACTTTATGACCAGGCTGCATTACATGCATTACTTGTGGGTGGGTGGGGGGGAGATGGGGACTTGCTGATAGAAGCTGGTGTAACCTTTGACCCCCTAAGTGGGAGCAAGTCTGGGTCAAAAGGATCCACAGCAGGTCAGGGAACAACAGCAAACACTCAGGCTCTCATAAGAAAGGACACAGGGAGATGAAGAGGCCGACTGATACAGGCAGTAAAGTCAGGACTTAATGTGATGAAGGTCTGTGGACTGTAAAGATGATGTTTGAGTCTAGAATAATTTGAGTTTTTGTCTGTCAGAATCGTTATTGTTCTACATGACTGTAAAGAAATATAGTATTGCACTCTTTACAGTCATCACAGTTATTTCTGTCCATACTCAAGGACTCAGATTATAAGATGACTCCTCTTTTCAAGACTCATTTGTAGGAATCAACTTTCTGACTTTGTACACAAAGCTATTTTAATTGAAATGGAAAGTAATAATTAAACAGACACCATTTTAGTTTCTTAAAAGTTTTTGGTATCTCAAAATAAAAGTCAAAGTCAAAAAAATAATAAATAAGGATGGAGCGGTCAAATCGGTTCTATTTTTGTTGTATTTCTACACTGTAAACAGGTTGTGACATCTTAGCCAGTCAGGCTTCTCATTGGATCGTTCACACATGGGGCTCTTTTTTCATTCCTCGCCCGCGACATGGCATAGGCGCGACATAAGTCAGGTCCACCGCGCCGACAAGGCGTGCTCAAGCACATTTTGGAATTTTGGTGAGCAGCACTTCTCAGTGTAAGTATCCCCCCTCCATACCTCAGCTCCTCCCAGCGGTGTATATCGTAGAGAGGCTGTGGAGTGGGTTTAACACGGCCGAGACCTGTTTTCGCCAATCAGAACCGCTCCTCTCTCAGAATATATCTATAGATCTAAATGTATGTGCTGACTCAGAATATTAGTTGTTGATGATTATTTATTGCACTGAAATGTGCCTGAAACTGTGGAAACCTGCCTGTGAGGCATCGGTGACGCCGCCGGTCTACCAAAATACCACTAGACCAGCTGCACTCCGCCTGCACTGAAGCTGACCAGGTTTGAATCGGCGAGCTTTCAGCGCATGTTCTATGCCACAGGCGAGCACGGAAATGTCTCTGCGCCAGCTGATTCTGTCGACACCTTCCCCTGCCGCGCCACCACACCCAACTTGGCGGACCCTGGTGCATCCCAGTCCACGAAAATACCAAGCTGGCTCTATACGCTGGGCTCCCCCAGACAAAAATACCACTGCACGGGGTCCGCCACCCTCCACTGCGTTGCCGGCGGGCACGAAAAGAGAGCCCTTTATGTTCAAATACTTTACAAAGCACAGATTAAAGTTCGGAACCCATCTACTAGACCTTACAAGGTGCTTATAATTATTTAAATGTTAGTAAATGTTCATAAAAGCACAATAAACACATTTATTATTGGTAATAACAAACATATAAGCCCTTATTAATTTGTTTACAATTTATATACCTGTCACAATCATCAAAAGGATGTTTAATAACTAAGTTTGACTTCATAAGAGTTAAGAGGATTTCTGTGTTATTAATACGATACGGCCAGCACCTCAATATGACATATGCACATCACACACACAGTAACACTCACCAAACACAGCATATTGTCCGTCACGGTACACAGAGAAACACTCATGACTCACCACGTACTGTTCATTATGGTACACGGACTGTAACTGTCTACACAACGTGTAGGCTACTAAAGTTACTACTAAAGCCCCTCCACACCAAATACAAAAAGAACAAATACTGAAAAATAACACAAGGGGCTCTATTTTGGTGCCTCGCCGGAGACGTGCCGCAAGCGCAGCGTCAGTCAGATCCGCCGCGCTGACAAGGCGTTCCCAAGCACATTTTGGTATTTTGGTGAGCCGCGCAGCCCAGCGTAAGTATCCCCCCTCCCTAACTCAGCTCCTCCCAGCAGCATAAGTCGTAGACGGGGAGGAGAGAGGGCGTGTAGTGGGTTTAACACAGCCGAGACCTGTTTTCACCAATCACATAGGCTCCTCTCCTTGCCTTTAAATCCGCCACAGGCGAGGCGTATTACTATTTTCATGAAGTAGTCAAAGAGATCAAGAGATGTCTGAAGACAGTAATGCCACAAGATGGCGACAGAGGGCAGCTCCTCAACAAGTGTCCTCCACACTCTCTCATCTGAGCACAGATGGATTTAGTGTGCGTAATGTTGGACCCACTGGTAAGACAAACACCCTTTTCCACAAATAAAGACACTCACATAAAGTTGCTCATATTCAAACCTCACGTGACAAAGGTGGGTTGAGCGCACAGATCACAACATAAACTCCAAAAATGGCATTAAAATCAGAACCATCTGTGCGTAAATGACGCATCGCGCTCCGTGGCCTGGCTCTTTCTTTCATAGATGTTGGCATATAAAATAAATTTGGCTCACAAAACTGAATATTATAATATCCGTATGTCGGCTTTAAGTAGATCACGCATCTGAGCACTGAAACAAATCATCTGTTCAGCTGCAGCAGCAGCAAGACGGACAGAGGACACGGAGACGTGTCCAGGTCGAGCTGTGCGAGAAATAAGAGGAAGAGGAAGAAAGAAAAGGAGGGAGAGGAATTACATATCTTGTTAACTTCATCATGTGTGTTTATTTACTAGATATTTAATTTAATTTGATGCGGTTTCAGCTGTGTTGATTCGGTCAGGTTGTGTGTCCAAGCGCGTGCCAAACGCGCTCATCAGATCAGATATAGATCAGAATATATCGATATAGATCTAAATGTATGTGCTGACTCAGATTAATAGTTGATGATGATTATTTATTGCACTGAAATGTACCTGACACTGTGGAAACCTGCCGGTGAGGCATCAGTGACGTATGTCGATACGCTGCCGGTCTACCAAAATACTACTAGACCAGCTGCGTTCCACCTTGCGCTGAAAGCTGACCAGGTTTGAATCGGCGAGCTTTCAGCGCACTTTACACGCCATTGGCGAGCACGAAAATGTCACTGCACCTGCTGATTCTGTCGACACCTCCCCCTGCCACGCCACCACGCCCAGCTTGGCGGATCTCGGCTCGCCTCCATGCGGCTCATGCCACGAAAATACCAAATTGGCCTTACGCTGGGCTCCGCCAGACGAAATTACAACTGCGCGGGGCTCGCCGCCCTCCGCCGCCTCACCGGCGCGCACGAAAATAGAGCCCAAGGTGTTAGAGGAGCCAAACAGCTTAATCAGCATTGTATCATCTCCTCCTGTAGAGGCTTGGGTGAAACAGATATTTACAGACATGTAGAAGTTACACACCATAGCTTTAGGCAAACGTAATACGAATAACATTATAAATTTTGAAATTTAACTAAATTTTTTCCAAAATAAAACATTAGCTTTTATTACAATTGTAATTCACATTTATCATTGTTTATAAGCCCACTATAAACACTAACTGGAGTTTTGTAAACAACAAAAAGACGATCCATGAAATAAAATGTTTTTTAACATGAATGACACTATAAAAGGTCTATACTAATAACTTGTACAGATTGATGTATATTTCCTAAGCACTCATGAACAATTAACAATGAACCTTGGCAGCTATCTGAAGCTAGTGTGCAAGTGTGGCACAGACTTATAATAAACATGTTAAATCTTTAATAAACCCTTATGAGTCTCTTTGTTAATCAGCATCCTCTTTATGTTTATGAGAGGTTTATAAATTGTTAACAAGTTTGGATTAAATGAATTATAAGCAATAATAAATGTGTTTACTCTGCATTCGGTGATATTAATGAACATTTATAAATGTTTATAAGCACCTTATAAGGTCTTATTAACTATAATTATAATTCTTATTACACGACCTCGACATAAAGTGTAACCTGTATATGCATTTCTCTGGTGCTGGTGTGCCGGGTACAGTGTTATCTCTCAGTGCAGTGCCCCTAAATTGAAGATTTTACAACATTTTCCTTCCGTTTGCTGATTCTCTGATTCTGGCTCCATGTTTGATTTGAGCAGAGGCATAGGGGACACATTGTAATTTATGATTTCCATCTAGCCACAGATGAAAAATAATCAAATCCACATAAAATGCAAAGAGGAGGAAGTGATTATCTAAATGATGGCTGCCAGGTTTGGGGAGCTTCATCTGACAGCTGAGCGCACTGTCTTTATGGACAACCAGGGGATAGAGGGGAGGAGGGGGGAGGAACACAGGCACAAAGGGGTGGTTTAGGGGTAAAATAGTGAAGGGAGTAGGGGTGGGGCGCTCACACATTTGGGCACTTTATAAGAGGAAAAGATCAATTCCACACTCTCACACACACACACACGCACACACACAGGCGCTCTGACAGGCTGAGACAGAGCATGACATTTAAAAGGAAAAAGCTGACATTGACTCCATCACTGTCACCCCGACTGCCATAAAGCAGCTGCAAATATTAAAACATTTTTCATCTGTGCCGCTCGGGGTTATTGGCACCAGAAATTGTTTTCCTCTCCGTCTGCTGTTGGCCTGCTCTGCCGCAGCCCTCCCCCGAGACCCTCGCCTGTTACCGCCGCCTCACAACATATTGGCAGTTGACGTGAAGCTATCCATGTACACTTGCCACTCACAGAGTCTTTATCGCCTTCCACTCACCCTCTGCAGCAAAACCCCTCCCTCCCCGCACACACGCACACACGCACACACACACACACACACACACACACACACAGCAGAGGCAGAAAAGCGCACATGCACGTTCACACATGCACTTCTGTACATTCATTCTGGGCTTTCTGGAATAAATAGCCACACAATAGGAGCACTGTTGAATCACTCAGATAAAAAACTGTTTGCTGTGTGTTGTGGGCATGCATGCATGTGTTTATGATGATGCAGCTGCAGATAAAACTGCAGTCCCTGCCATCAGTTTAATCCCTCAACAATCTGACTGATTACTTTCCCATACATTCAGCGCTCTGTCTGTCTCTCTTCTGTTGTATCTTGTGCAAAAGTGAAAATATGTGAGGCTACATTCATTTTCTCTCCACCCCAGCATCAGCTTCTTGCTTTATTTGCATGCAGCAATGTAGCAAGCTTTGAAAAAGCTGATTGCTTCCTCAGTCTGGTCAGCATATTTAAATGTGATATCAAAATATCTGAAGTTGAATTATTTGTCCTGACACTTAAAATAGCCTCCAATAAAGGCTTATCACTTGTCACATGAGACAAGTGTGCCCCATGTTTCCAAATGTATTCAAATATATCTGCTTTGATAGGTCTGTAAATGGAATGGAAATGTGTGTTTTCTTTGGAATTCAATTTGTTATTTTGGAGGAAATCTCACATATCGCTGTCCCTCTTTTTCTCCTGACTTGGTTCGATGACAGGTTTCATATTATGAAACACACCTGAGTACAAAAGACAGCTCCTGCACGCTGGCCCTCATTTGCATCAAAAAGATGGATACAGTAATGTGCAAACACAACATGGGATTTCTGATGTGGCTTAAGATGGAAGAGCTTTGGGGAGTAGAGTCGCTGCTCCGGTATTTACATTTAAAATATTTATTCAATTTAATGCACGCTGACATGCATTTTATGCTAATGACTCTGAAATGAAACCTGAATTTATGTCCCAACATTTAAGACTTTTTTTGCAGCAGAATTAACCTGCAGATACATTGTTTATGTTTCGAGAAAGGTAAAACACTTTCTGTTTGTATGTTTAATGGTTTAGGTGCAGCAGCTGAAAAACATGATGCAAAGTTGACTTTTCTGATGTAGGAAAACTTTAGGATGTCAAATTTTATGCTATTTACATTAAGGTGATTTCCTGTCTCAACTGATAAGAACTGCAATAGCTATGTGACAGGAATTTTTATTTTCTCTATGTTAAAAAAAAAAAAAAACTAAAAAATATATAATGATTTGGATGTCCTGAAATCAAGAATCAGTCTTACGTGAAATAAAATGAAGCTCTGCAAACAAACAAACAAACAAACAAAACAGCATTTCCCAGAGTGGCCGATCTTGCTGCAGAAGCAAAGGCAGACCCATACCTTATGCATGAAGGTCCTGTTCCCACACTAAGTCTTGACCTTGCTGATTTTTGTGATGTTGAATCTGATTAATGAACTCTAAGCAGTTTATCTCATGTTGGACTCACACAGTAATTGCATTTATTTGTATGTGTTTTTCTTGATGCATGGAACCATTTAACAAGAATTCCCCTGGCATACTCATCTACACTGCAACTGCCCTTCAGTAGTCCTAGTTGCACCTCCGATCATATAGATCTATGCACAGCCCTTAGTTCTTATGTTAAATCTGGCTGTAAAATTTCAATAATCACTTCCTCTTCTTTGCAACAAGCCTCTAGTGGACATTTGTTGAACTGCAACATTTGCACCTCTGTATTGGCTTTATTTTCCAGTGGAGACAAATATTTATCCAGCTGTTGTTATGGCAGGGCTGTGATTGGGTTTAGGGTGATTCAAAAGTTCTTTCCACACATCTGATACCGCATCTTAAATGTCTAGTTCCCTGTTGCGTTAAAATATTGTTATTGTTTTTCCTTACAACAAAACCATCTATAATTCTGTCCCTTGGTGAGATTTTATGAGTAAAATAAGTGAAATTGCAGGACCCAGATGATATTACCTAATGTTTCAAAAATGTTATTTTTCCTCATTGTAACTCTACAAAGCTGTAAAACCGAACCCACACCATACTGGACAACACCAGCTTTCCCCCACAACCCACACCAGCTCTGACCAAACGAACAACCTGGCTAACAGGGCTGTTTCTTTAGCCCCGCAGGCTGTCTTTAGGCCTGTGGAAGATATTTGCTGCTAATGCTCACCAATGAGAGGCCCAAATGGTCTTATTACAGCAGCTCCCACAGCTCGCACTATACATCAGGTAGGAACACACGGCAAAATGGAGACCGTGATTGTTCTGGGAGCAACAGCGCTCATTACTCAACACCCCTCGCCCTCCCTTGCTACATGCAAGCCTCTTTCTCTTTCATCCCCCTTTCCTATCTCACTTTCTCTTTATTTGTCTCTTCAGCCCCTTTTTTTAAATTTTCAAATTCTACCTCTATTGGTTTTTCTTAAGAATGAGGAAAAAGGATAGATAGTCTTGAAGAGAGACTGTTAAAATGAATCCTCCATTTCTCTTTTGTTTTACAGATGTTTCATGACAAAAGTGTCTGTTGATTGAAAGCATGGGATGTCTTAAAGGTTCAGCCTTCAGAGGGCCCTATTTAAGCAACCTAAAATGTACAGTTAAAGATTCACAATATCAACTGAATACAGGCATAATTTATAAATTTTTTTGCTTGTGAAGCGATTTTTTTCATGAAACATGACACAGGCAGTGCATCTGATG